ATAGACAACTCCATTTTAAAGAGATGCCCTAAATCTTGAAATCAATTTCAACAACACATTAAGAACTCTCACTCTGCCCTTTGACATATTTGCTTTTTCTATGATCCTTTATGTTTTAAATATTTTTCCTGCCTACTCACCTAAATTATATGAAATCACAAATAACACTGTTCTCCAAGAGCCACTTTTTCCCTTCCTGCAACTACTTTTAGAGCTGACTTCTAACCCTCAGACCAACGTTTTAGTGCCGCTAACTTTTACCAGTCTTCCTTTGTATTAAATGCAAAGATGAGACTGTCAAATTCACATGAAAAAATTATTTCAATGTGTTTTCATAATTGTAGACGTGTAATATTGCTCTAGTATGAATTAAATATGTCAAATTTCAAAGGAATTTTGAATTCCAGCTTGTACAAGAGCCAGTCTTTTTTTAATCAAAACCCCATTAAATATTCATCCATGTTCCAGTGTAAGCATATATAATGAAGAAAACCTTTCAATGTAACCATCAATATGGGAAAAGTCTTGAATAATCATATAATCAATTTTACTGCATAAGACTAAGGTAACATTTCTCAGCCAAAATATGCAAGGATTGTATTACAATGATTGCTAGCACTAAAACACAAGCAATTTTTAGCTCCGTAAAAAACAAAACTCAAAGCTGAGCAAGGCTGTGATTACAGGAAGTGTTATAATTATGAGAAAGAAGCACCTCAACCTGCTGGCAGTACCATATCATATTATTTTTAAAGTTAAATTTTTTTTTAATCAGTAACACCAAAAAGGGGAGGAGGCAGGAAAAGAAAATTTTTACAAATTGCCTTATTAATTATATATATAAAGATTATAGTTCTTTTTAATTAGAAACTTTAATATTTAAAGAACTTTTAAGATTGCTTTCGTAAGTTTATCTTCCTGTTGGACCTCAGTGTAGACCACCATCAATGAAAGAGTGGTCCTGTAAGGTAGCTGAGATCTCTAATAATCCATACGAAAACAGAAATACTACTTCCATTACTTCAACATTTCAGGAAAAAAATAACATAGGGATACCAAATTCACCTTTCACATTCTGTCTCAGATGATTTGAAACCTAAAACCCCTTCCTGTACCTAAATGAGTTGAATGGGAAATACATTCTGGCTACAATTCCAATTCAAACTCTGCCTGACAATGTCACACTACATAAATACTTGAAACACACACACACACTTGATTGCGCAGACAGTCCAGTAACTCCTTATTATTCCCACCTACCAAACTGAGAACATAATCTTTAAATTCCTATTCCCTCCTCTACAGAAATAAAAGAGTTAGTCCACATTGCCGTGGTGCCCTTTCCAAGGGACCCCAGTGGCCTTCCTTACACTGACTGCAGACAGGGACACCTGGCTACAATGTAGCAAAAGCAACTAAAGATTTAACTACCAAATATCTGAAGTTATAGTGGATTAAAAGAAACCTCCCCATATTTTTTTATTTTCAGTTTCCTTTCTGTTTTCAAGAAGAACGGGGCATTTAATCAAAACGTCCTTTTCAATAATCTCAGTGAGTTAACAGCTTCTACCTGGACATAATTTTTGTGTTATGCAAAATAGATAATACATTCAATAATGATTTCAGATTTAGAAAATATTAGACAGGAAAACAAGGCAGACTTGTGCCAAACCACTATTTTCTGCTGCAAAAACTTTCCAAAAACTTAGTCTTTTCCTTAACCTCTCATCTTATTTTCTTGATAATGTCACCTCCCCTAAGTATCTATATAAGGATATACCATATATATATATAGTGGTAAAGCAAGTATTTGAGATCCCATAGGATATCCCTTTCTCTGATTTGTTTAACATAGAAAATTACAGTGTAGGTCATAATCAGCCTACAAACTGTGGCAAAGGATTTTGCAGTGGTCTATGAGGCAGAGAATATCACAGGCTTTAGGTCAGTGTTCATACGGCCTGAAAACTAGAGTAATAAGGATGCTTTAACTAAATTAAACAGCAACATCGGAAATTATCCACTGCATAAGCAAGCTGATCTTACTCTAAATCAGCACTGCATTCATGTTTTCCCATGGGCAGATCAAAATGGCTACGGTTCACCATTTAGGCAGGAAGAGCGAACACAATCCTATCAT